TTCTGCACATTGTGCTCCTCTACTTGCTGCACGCGAATTGAGCAGATCGCTAATTGAAGGCTCTTAATGGCTTCTGCTGCCTCCTGTAAGCACAACAAAGCATAAAAAAAATATGTGTATCAAACCACATGAGTCCAGTCAACATAAAATGGTTGACTCCCAGCAATGAAATTCCATGACCAAACAAGTGATGTGAATGCGATGGCAGCATATGAAATTATACATTCTGCTTTTAGTGACATCTATAGAGTAGCTCATAGATTAGAGCATGAAGAATTTTCCTTTTAGGAATACTAATTGTCAGGAAAATCAGTGAGAGCCAACAGAAGGTTATACCAGAAATACCTTATGTTGTAATCGTTCAAAGGCAAGATTCCATTGTTCACACATGCGACGAACAGAAGATGAGTAAAGACTCTTACGATGGTCATCGACAAGACTGTCAGTAAGTTGGATCCACCTGGAAAGTGTTCTAACATACTCTTGTTGAGATTTTACGACTTCACAGAACCAGTTGTACCAGCAAGAAACCTCGGTTTCCAGTTGAATTGCAGCTTGGCGGTGGTAGTTGGTGCTCAAGTCCATCTTTATATCAGAAAGAATATTCAACTGCTGGGAAACAAAATGTTGAACTTGGTGACATTCATACATCGTTCTCCACATGTGCAAAAGCCTGCAAGAGAGTCATGCAAAAGCCTGAGGATACAAATACAGGAGGACATGTTTCGCCGCATTCCATTAAAAGCTCTAGAAGGCCGGTTGAGAATTCCATGTTTAAGGTAAGGCAAGGCAGCCTTATTATGAAGACAAATCCAGTGAGACTAAATCAAGGTTTTCTTAGAGTAAAGGGGTGCTTGTGGATAAAAAAACTTATGGTTCCAGGTATTCGCTACTTGGTACCAACTAGAAAGATTACTAAACACCCCATTATACACAAAAATGTCAGATTGAAAAATTGTAGAGAAAGGTACTAATGATATTGAGTCTTAGATATAGACCCATAAAATATCACCAGTCTCTGGTAACTACATTGAAGGAGATGGATGAGAAAGGGCAAAAATGGTATCCATCATCTTGAAGAACAAGTTTCAGTGAGTCATCAAAAGAAAAAATTTACATCCTACTATCCTATATACTTTAAAACTAAGAGAATAGCATCCAAATTATTTTTTCTATAACAAGAAAAAAATTATGGCTATTTTACTACATGATTAATGTCAACAATACCCGGAAGTTAGTGTGACCA